ATTAAAAGGAAAAGGACCAGTTTACTGTGGCCAGGGGAAACACCAAAGCAGAATCTTTAAATATATACTGTATCTATTTTTTTGTTTATTTATTGGTGTGATGGATTTCTGTGTCTTGAATGGCTGAAAATCTACAACAGCTCCTTGAATCATCATTTCTTTGTTGCATCTTTATTTGAGTGGCTTTTCATGTTTCTGTTTCACTGTCCTTCAGATTGTCAGACCTTGAGAGCGCGGCTGAAAAATTCTGCTTGAGAGAATATTGGAAAAATTCAGAGCCTCATACGTGGGGCTTAGTCAAATTTGACTCGCCTGGCAGTAACAGAGGAAATTGAATGAAGGAAGGTCAATGAATTCCTGCAGTGCTCGTTGAAATGAACTCAGACAGGAACAAATGCCGGGGTGTTTTAAAAAGGGAAGTGTTAAAAAAACAACAGGCAGGCACAACACAGGAGAGTGGTAAACAGATCCAGCACTCGTGAAAAACCACAATGATTTTCAAAGATGTCTCCTCAGCAAAGAGTCACTTAAACATCTAATAAAGGAAGTTTAATATTTCTCTTACTGCCTAATTTTACAACAAATCCAGAGTTTTGCAGATTAACATGAGAACGCTTTTGACCACATGTCAAAGTCAAGGCCTGTGGGCCTTTAGTTTGTTGGATAGCACAGTATTAATGTCTCAAAATAAGCTGTTTTTTAAGCCAGCACTGACCATGAACTACATCTCCCATAATGCATGTTTATACATGGGATTTCCCTCTAGTTAAGTGGGAGAGTTCAGAGTTTTTCTTTTTATATTATTTTTGTATCATTTATTTCACATTTAGCCAGTCGTACATGTAGTAACTTTCAGTGTTTATCAGAGGACGTGTTAAAGCACTGCTTCTATGCAGGAAATACCAGGTAGAACTCAGTTAGTGTTAGCGGTGCTCAGCTGTAGCAGAGAGGAGGAACGTGTCATTTCGTGTTTAGTCGAAGTTAAACAGGAAACGTCAAAATTTATTACAGATGGCCCTTTGAGGCCCACCATAAAGCTCATGTGGCCCTCAGTGACGCCCCTGCTTTAGACGTTTTTCTAATTGAGAATCTGAGTGTTTGTAGCCTGGTAAAAACCAGCTCCTTGTTCTACGTTTTTCTTCATTTAGAGGGTCTGGACTGTCGGCTATTCAGAAGCAATTTTATGCTGGAGGTGTGGCCTGTGTTGAAGTTTAAACTGATTAGAACGTATTTACCCAATCGCTAACGTCTGGCCATGATGTACGCAGTGCACCAGCTCGACCGTGAAGGAAGCTAAGCTAAGAGGCTAACCGGAAATTGTGTGCGATGTAAACAGCCATTCCCTACTGGGAAGAGAGAAGTACTGAGTTGAACAGGTGGCTGTAAATGAGTTCTGCAGGCTTTCTGAGACAAATTTAACTCATTTGGAAGCCTTGTGAACACAGACTGGCTTCATCCACTTCCTCCACTGCCATTGCTAAATTACAAGCAAACTAAAACGGTGCAGAAAATCGATGTCATCGTTCACAACTCCTCCTTCTGTTCACTGATTGGCCTGAAACTGGAGAAATCCTTGTCTATGGGAGAAATCCCAGACGGAGCAGTGAAGGCAAACTAGAATTATCCACTGGCACTTTGACTGGTGGAAAATTCAGATTTGTTTCTGTGTGTTTATTATAAGCTGCAGAATTCACGTCTGACCACAGAACTCTCTGTGACAAACAGACAAATAAATGATTGACTTTAAAAACTTGGCCTCAGAGTTTTTAAAGCTGACTTTTTTGGTGTTGGGTTGCATTCTCATTCCGTTTAACATTTCCTGTTGTCTCCAAGTCATCCCCTAATATAAATAGAGGCCAGTTCTTTCAAGGATATCTGTTCATTTTTCTGAATTACTCTTTAAATAAACTCTTTGTGGAGAAGCTGACCCACAAACAGTAAGATTATTCAAAACTAACAAAAGTGAGGTGTCCTTAAAGTTCAACAGCAGAAATTGGAGGATGCAATAAAAAAACTATTTTATCATTTAACCACTTTTGTTTTTAACTTCCAGAACCAAAACAATGAGTTTTTATTATGGCACCACTTGACAAGACTTATGTCATGAATGAAGTGGTTTCATTTGAATATTCAAATGAAACAATTAACGTGGTGCTACTTATCTTTCTACTGTTAATCATTTTCACWGCTTCAAGCTCATGAATTTTATTTTCACATTATGGGATTTTTTTAGGTAACTGCTGGGCTTTTCTCAGTTCCAATGTAATGTTTTAAATCTTCCTCATATTTCATTGTTAGATGTTTGGATTTTGTGTTGCTTTTCCAGCAGAAAGAGACATTCGGTAGCAAAAAGGTTTAACTCCACTGTTCTCACAGCGCTGAGATAAAACACTTATAGATTTATGTTCTTTGATTGGTTCTCTGGAGTGAGGGAACAAACAGCAGCTTTAATTCAGAGATTTATTTACAAAGCCTGGTCAATAGAGGGGTTAACTCTAGAGAGCTGTTTGTCACCAATTGATTCTTTATTTTCTCTCTTTTTTTTCCCTCCATTAAATAAAGTATGTATAATTGTCCTACATGTTGCTGTGAAGGATTAGAGAAGTCTTAGTGTGTATCAGCTGGAAACAAATTAATTAACCATTAATATATTTTTATTTCTTAAAAGGCTGCTGTTGGAAGAAACATTCAAACAAAGCTAACAATATGAGCTTTGTAATGAAGAGCAGAGGGTAGAGTACACAAAAGTTGCGCTCAAGTAAGAGTAGCCCTACTTAAACATATTTTTACTCAAGTTAAAGTAGTTAATTTCTTTTTCTAATGAATTTCTTTCCTTGTTAAGTTGTAATTAATTTCAATAAATTGCAAGTTGCGAAAGGCGTGGACATTTCTTTTTTTTTTGTATTGAAAAAATATCGAATTTGAGACTAAAGTATCGAACCGAACCAAATCAAGATTTCTCTGTATTGTCGCACCCCTATAAATAAATATACAGGCCTCTCAAGTTCTGACCTGAGCTTGGAGTGACATTTCAAGCTGCTGAACACTTTTAGCTTTTGGCCGTCCTAAAAGCTGCTAAATAACGTCAACGTCCAGTTTGCATATTTGGATTTTTGCCAACAATTGTGATCAGGGCTGTATGGTATGTAGGAGAAAACTGTGTAAAATAACTCTGGTGGGGGGTCAGGGGATCCTCCCCCAGAAAAATTTGAATGAATTAGACGCTATTTCCTGCATTCTGGTGTATTTTAACAAGTTTTTAAACAGACTTTTACCTACAGAAATAAACACTTGGTGTGAGATTCTATAGGTCAAGTGGAAGAGGTTCTCAAACATTTTGGGTCTGTGGACCCCTTACAAGGGTAAAAAAAACATTCCAGGGACCCCCCTCATAAAACTCATGCTGTTTTAAAAATAATTTGCTGTCATTTTATCCCTGAATTCCATGGGAATAGAAGAGAAGAGTCATTTGCAGCTGGGGTTGCTGTGTGAGGTTTTAAGTAGACTGGTAGAAGTAGCTGAGAGTATTTACTTATTTATTTTATTCTTAAAAACAACAAAGAGCATTAAAACCATCAAAGTAAATCAGTTATTGGATGAAAAAGGGGTAGAAGAAGAAAAATCATACATGTGCCCCTATTAAAAACAACTTCCTCCAATCACTAACATCATGTGAGGTCTTTGTTATAACCTTTGACCTGCAGTCCTGCTTTAAAAATAGCCGCGTTATCCCTTTATTTAACATGGCTCTGACACTGATCCAGCTGTTTGCAGGTGATGTGCTGCATGTGCAGCGTATACTTGTGAGAATATTTTTTTTAAACTATGATAAAAACATCATTCGTGCGTGCAACAGGTGGAAAGGTTTGGTCTGGTCTCACGCTGCTGCAGCTTTTTCTAACAACACGCAGCGCGGTAGGATGATTGACAGGAGCGATCGGCTTTGAATGCAGCGTGCACATGTGCAAGACTTCCATTGTTGGAATAAAAACACAAAAATAATTGGAGATGGATCTTTTTAGGCAAAGTGAGCGGTTCATCCAGTCCAGCCAGAGCGAAAAACATTGAGCTGCACATTGGTTGTTTTTAAAAAGTGTGTGTGCATTTGTGCATGTTGTTGCAGTGTAAGAAATGCAACTTGTGGCGTGTACACATCCTGAAATGCGTGTGTCAAACAGCTAATGCGTGGGACTTGAGAGCCCTGTATGTATGTC